CTGTCCGTGGCCACCCGTGAGTGGCCACTGCCCTGGTGGCTGTGTCCCCACACCAGGCTTGGGCTCCGTCCCACAGGTGGCCTCTGCCACGATGACCCTGCGGCCAGGGGGTCCTCGCGCTGGCAGCAGCCCGAGCAGGCGGCTGGTGCCCGGCGCCGGACCTTGCCGCTGGGGTCCGCTGTCGGGGCTGGGTGCGCTCTGCGCCCCGGGTCCCGCCCTCCCGGTGGAGGCCGCAGCCATGGGGGCTTCAGGGTGGGCTGCGGGGCCTCCCCGCTGACTGGCGTGGCCGTTGCCCTGTCCCAGGTTACCTGTCCTGCTGCCGCTTCCTGGACGACAACCAGATCGTGACCAGCTCGGGAGACACCACCTGGTGAGCGACGCCGGCCTGCCGCGGCGGCTCTGGCACCCGGCTCAGCCGTTCAGCGACAGTTGCGTCTTGGGGGGCGGTGCCCGGGCCTGCGCAGCATGGCGCCACCGCTGGCGAGCACCCACTTGTGCCTCAAAACCGCCGTGTCAGGCTCCCCAGTGGCCTGGGACCCCCCCCCGGCCAGGCCCGCTACAGCGGAGGCCGGCGGCCAAGGCCAAGCTCAGCACCCTGGTCCTCCTGCGACGGGTGTTGGGATTCATGAAGCTCCCGCTTTCCCGCCGCTGGTCTTGGCTAGTGTTTCTTCGTGCGGGTGCAGTCCAGAGCTCCCCTGGACAGCGCCACAGGTGCTGGCCCTGCCCGGACCCCTCCTGCGTGCGCCTCGGGCCAGGCTCCAGGTGGCCCGGTGAAGGGGTGTTTCAGGGCTCTCGGGGTCTCCCCGCGACCGGCAGGCCCATGGCTGTACCAGCAGCCCCCATGTGTGGCTCTGAGGGCTGCGAGTTGGCGTGGGGTGCAGGCGTGGGTGTGCGGACCCTGGCGAGGTGACCCTGCTCTGTCCTGTGCGCCGCCGCAGTGCCCTGTGGGACATCGAGACTGGCCAGCAGACCACCACGTTCACTGGACACACCGGGGACGTGATGAGCCTTTCCCTCGCTCCGGACACCAGACTGTTCGTCTCCGGCGCTTGTGACGCTTCTGCCAAGCTCTGGGACGTGCGAGAAGGGATGTGCCGGCAGACCTTCACCGGCCACGAGTCGGACATCAACGCCATCTGCGTGAGCCCCGCCCCTGCGCCCGCCCCTGCGCCCGCCTCCTCCCTCGGCGCTGCCCAGGGCTCTGCTCCCCGGCGCCAGCCCCGCCAGCCCCCACTTCCTCTCTGCAGTTCTTCCCCAACGGCAACGCCTTCGCCACCGGCTCGGACGACGCCACCTGCAGGCTGTTCGACCTCCGCGCGGACCAGGAGCTCATGACCTACTCGCACGACAACATCATCTGCGGCATCACCTCCGTCTCCTTCTCCAAGAGCGGCCGCCTCCTCCTGGCCGGCTACGACGACTTCAACTGCAACGTCTGGGACGCGCTGAAGGCCGACAGGGCAGGTGGGTGGCGCGGCCTGGCCCGCGGGCCCCAGGCGAACCGGCTGGCGCCCGCGCACCTTCGGTGCGGAGAGGTGCCGAGCGGCTGTGGCCGGGCTCCTCCGCGCCCTGGCTGGCACGCCAGCTGTGTCGCTGCCCAAAGGGCGCTGGGCTCGCCGGCCCCCAGGGCGGCGCTGTCCCCACGACCACGCCGCCGGCGTCTGAGGCCTCTCCCTGCGCAGGTGCACGCCATCCCTCTGCGCTCCTCCTGGGTCATGACCTGCGCGTACGCCCCCTCGGGCAACTACGTGGCCTGCGGCGGCCTGGACAACATCTGCTCCATCTACAACCTGAAGACCCGCGAAGGGAACGTGCGTGTGAGCCGCGAGCTGGCCGGGCACACAGGTACACGCTCGCGCGGCCTTGCCGCGGCCCACCCCGACTGGATCGCCGGCCGGCCCCGCCTGCGCCTCACCGGCACTCCGCCCCCGTGGCCCTCGCTGCAGTTCGGCCTTGTTCCCTTTCCTGCGTCCGCCTGCGGCGGGAGGGGTTTCTGGAGGACGCGCTGTGGCCGCGCCCCCGGGCGCCCGCCGGACTCGCCTGCCCGCACTTGGGGCCGCAGGTGCATGCGTCTCCCCGCGCCCCGCCGTGGCTCCCAAGGCGCAGGCTCAGCGGCTCTTCCGGGCACGGCCGTGGCTGCGTGGTCACCTGGGCCAGGGCGTTGTGTTTCTAGGGGGCTGCTTATGCATGCAGTTACGCGTGCAGAACTGGGGTGCGGGGGTGAGGAGCTTTAAAGACCCCAGTGACCTGTCGCGTCGGCCGTTTAGCATTTCCCCCCATTGGCGGAACCTGAGGTTTTCCCCAGCAGCGTCTGCGCCATCGCTGGGCAGGCTGAGGGTGGCGCTCGCCGTCGGCCCCCAGGCAGTCCACCTCGCCGGGCCCTGCGGGGCTCGGGCTCCCACACCCGGTGTGGCGCGTGGTGCCGCCCCGCGGGCCAAGCTGCGGGACACGTGCTGCCAGGCCGCGGCCCCTCGGGGGCGGCCCTCGCCCTGCACCTGCAGGCGGGCCCTCCCCGCTGGCCTCTCTCCGCCCTGCCACCCCCGGTGCAGAGGGCCACCCTGGCCACTCCGCCACGCGTGCTCGCTGCAGCGGCCTGCAGGGCCCGCCCAAGCCCACTGCCCACCGGGCACACTCACAGGGCCGGGCGCGGGCTCATCTCCCAGGCTTGGGCCCACTCGGGGCTTCTTGTGGGGGTCACAGCACACCTGGCATCATGGCCGCTCAGCAAGGCTGCAGGGGCCTGGGGAGCGCCGCGGCCTCAGTTGCTGAGATCCTTAAGCTGCGGGCGGAGCTGTCCCGGACAGGAGGACCCTGGCGGGCTGTCCGTGGCCACCCGTGAGTGGCCACTGCCCTGGTGGCTGTGTCCCCACACCAGGCTTGGGCTCCGTCCCACAGGTGGCCTCTGCCACGATGACCCTGCGGCCAGGGGGTCCTCGCGCTGGCAGCAGCCCGAGCAGGCGGCTGGTGCCCGGCGCCGGACCTTGCCGCTGGGGTCCGCTGTCGGGGCTGGGTGCGCTCTGCGCCCCGGGTCCCGCCCTCCCGGTGGAGGCCGCAGCCATGGGGGCTTCAGGGTGGGCTGCGGGGCCTCCCCGCTGACTGGCGTGGC